GTCAGGAAGTCAGCGGTATTCGACGTTCGAGAGGACGGCACACGTCAGTTCTGAAATGTGCAGATATACGGACTGGTATTAATGAATCCACACAGTATACACAGCACACATGCGCACAGGTCGGGTGGAACAAGGGAGAAGGCCGGAGTGTGGTAACGACACACGTGTATTGAGCGAAACCGAAACCGGAAGCGGGGGGTGTGTACAGGGTCGGGTCAAGGTCAGTTAGGGGGTGTACAAGCGGGGTACTCTTCCCTGTCCAGGGCCCGTGGTGATTCGTCCGTGGTACCTGCAATGGGGGAAGAGAGAAAGGGAGGGGCACGTATAAGGTCATATGAGAAACGGGCAAGCAGATACATTCGAGTTTCAAATGCGTTACAGTACGCAGTGTTCGTATGTGTGGCACGTACCACGTGATTCGGACCAGCCAATCATTTGCTTCCGTTTGGCTTGCGCATTATTCGAACTCTCGGCAGTCTGACTGCGGTCCAGAGCGCATCGAGGTCGTACGAGATCGAGCTGCTTAGCAGAGGTTTGCACCAATAGCCGCTGGGGGATAACCTTGGGAGCAGGCCTGCTGATTCGCGATCCAAATGCGGGCGACGTCATCCGACTTCCTTTCGACTTTCCCGGTCAGCACGCTTCGTCATAGGATGCTACTACTTTTGTTGAGTTATATATAGAATAAAAATATGATTAGCTAAGATGGAAACAACTTATGTATACATATCCAAGACTGTACATAAGTTCGAATCGAGATATCCGAAAACGCAAATGTCGAGTTCCTGCCGAACTTGTATTGCCAGAATTGATGTGGGTAGTCAGAAAAAGGTTGTGTGAAGAAAGGCAGGTCGATGGATATGTTAAGGTTCATGAAAGGCTTCATAGGATTTTAATGACAAATATAAACATACTTTGGCTTATGTGCACCGCAGCAGCGTTTTTCACTGTTTGCTACAGTTGTACTCCGCCTTTGCATAAGGTATAGCGTTTTTTTAAATAAACTCCCCATTGCGCATTCGTGTATAGTCATTTAATGGTGTTTATTGGCCGCAGTGTTGGGCAGTACGTAAGAGAATTTGCACGTTGGGCGGCTATAATTTTGCCGACCCTGGCGGAGTCGGCAGCTGGTCGTTTTTTGAAGTTTCACCTGGCTTATAAACCCCTACGGCTTCATCTTCATTAACCTTGGTCTCTTCTGTGGGTATATTGTTCCGCATGGATGTGCTCATCCTTAGCTCCCTAGGGAGTACGTTCCTGTGACGTTGCCATTGTGTTTGGATTAAGCTTAGCATATCACCACGAAGTAGTGTGAGTTTCAGGGGCCTCGGGCCGGTACCCACATAATTTGGTGATTTCGGAATCCGATAAGTGTCAACTACGGCCACCTTTTCACTTTCAAGTGTACTGCATAGGAATCGCCATTGCATTTAGTCGTGTGTGTTTTGTGCTATTTTATCTGACGTTTCGTTGGGCTCCGGAAAACCCAAGATGATCAAACTGCGGTCATTTGTATGTTTTCTGGTTGAGTTTGTAGGTTGATGTGTACTTTTGCGCGATCTTTCCGACCACGGTATATCAACGAAAATCCTTTCACCATTGTCAGGTTCCCCCCTAAGTTGGAAGGCTGGTAATAGTATGCTCTCCAGGTCTTTCTCGGTATTAGCGGTAACTCTGAGAAGTCTTGGCGAATACGGTGGTCGACTTAATCGCGTTAGGGAAACTGGTTCGATGGGTCTTAACTTCATTTTAGCGCAAAGTTTGAACCACTCCTCCAGTTTGCGCTTGTGTCTCGCTTGTAATAACGTATCACAAGGTTCTGTGACGTTAGTGCAAATAACACTAAGTCCTGATGATGCTTTCCGTTTATTATTGAGCGGCCTAGTTTCGGATTCAATAACCTTTTTTGACGTTACTTCCTCGGTTTGTAACAGAGGTATGGAATTCTTTGTTAATTCAACATGCTTCACTCACCCCACCGGCCCATACTCACGTGGTTGTAACAGCTCTTTGATATGTTCTAGTTGTTTCTCTAATGAGCCCAGTCTATTCTCCATTGGGTCGTTCCTTTTGCTGATGTCATTTGTGTTCGCATTTTGGCTGCCGTTATTCAAGATGTTATCTCTACAAGTGGCACATAGATAACCTACTGAAGGGTGACTGGCATCATTAACAATCTGTACCGTTGCATCAGTTAGTGTTCCATCGCAACGGGCGTGCACATGCAGTTTACCAAACAACATTGAACTGAGGGCGTATTGAGACTCACGGGGTCAGAACAGGCCACACATGGGTCGCATTGATTTTTTTGTTATCGTGCGCGCTGTCGACGCTTTCGTTAATGTTGATGCTATAGAACGGGTGACGCGTTTGGACATGATTGGGCGTGTGTGTGTAGGGCAGGTTAGCTAGCAAAATTGCGAGCGTGTGGCGTGTATGTGCGGTTTTGTGTCTACATTCGGACTAGCGTGTGCGTTAGCCGGTTAGCAGAAGTTGTGAACGCAGTCAGCTCGGAAGGCCAGGGATTATCGACCGCAACTAATAGGGATTCAGTGGTGAAACTTGCGCGGACAGACCTCTCGATAGCGCCCGTAAATCTTCACCGATCTTTGCAGAAGTGGTTTCAAAGAATAGAACTCGTCGCTGACTACCGTTTCGTGTAGGCAACGTGGAGTATCTCCGAAGGTTGCGGGTAGTTGTGCGCGTGTATGTGGACTCCGTGACGTGAGCCAGATCCCAATATCCGTAGGTCTTCAACGGCGACTGACAGGATTTCAGAATTTATACAGATCAATTTAGCTTGCGGAGAGCAAGCGATTGATATGCAGATCAAAGGTGTAGGATAGAATAGATCCAAGAAAACTGTTCCAAAGGCGAAGCGCCGGAAAATGCAACCGCACCGCAGTGGTGGTGTGTGTGATGCGACTGTTGTCGACAAAAACCAGTGGTACCCAATGCACCATCCACTTACTATATGTAACTATGCCGTCGTAAATGAGGTATTCATCGTGTAGGTCCAATCTCTATGGGATGAATCAGCAAGCCATTGTTTACGAGGCTGTGGAAAAAGCGTCAGTCGTTTTGTCATGTAAGGATTACCTATTTCATAAATATTCAATTGCATTTATTCCGAACGGAGGAGCAGAGATATCCCGGAATAAATTATTTAAATTATTTCATGCCACTTTCCCCTCCTGCACTGACAGTCCGTTTTTCCTTGGTTTACGCGCTTCAATCATTTAACTCTATTTTTTGCCTATGCATACATGCACTTTGAACGCAAGCGCTTCCTGGCCTGTGCACAACCACCTAATCAGAATGCTGGCTTGTGCATGAAGCGCGTTCCCGGGCCATATGGCCAGCGGCTAGACGCACAATGTATTTTTCTGCAAAACCCTGCGGGCGAAATAAAAACTTTAACGTCAAAATGTTGCACTTCTTTGCATATATGCGTAGACGGAAGACCCCCTCATCTGCCATTATTTTTTTGCGATTTGTTTTAATCGATGACATTTGAAAATTATTGGCGCACATTCGGCTTTGAACTTCGTCTGCTATGGCTTCGGAAGTGGCTTTCGTCGAGAAATTTGTGGGTGTATCGTTTTCATCCTTCATGACATTTGAGAACACGTTAAATGAATACATGAAGGATAAATTTGTGATATTTGTGCGTTCATCCAGTAATCGAAGCACCAACACTATTTTGCGTTACGAATGGGTGTACTACAAATGCAGCAGGCGCCCTCCAAGAAAAACGGAAAGCCATGGATCCGAAGAAGCTAGTAAGCCGAGCGTAATTTCTAATAAAAAAAGTACGCGAACACCAGCTGCCCAGTGCGGTTTTGTCTACGGAGGCAAAGGAACCAACTGGCAGTGACCTCTTATTTTCTGGAACACAACCACAAACTGTCAAAGTTTCTTTACGATCGGCTTCTAGTCAATCGACGCTTAACCGAAAACGAGTTGGGCACATGCCAGGCCCTGCTGAGATATGGAACGCCGTCATCTGAGGTGCGGCAGTTTGTGGCGGATGAATTCGGAAAGATTCTTACAACTAAGGGTATACACAACTACCGCCGGAGATGTCGACCGGCTATGTTGAGTAGGTGCCTAATGGTTGGGGTTTAAT